AATAAAATATAGAGTAGTGTTGTTCAACATAACATTGTTACTGATGCTTAATACAGGTTTAGAAGTTTCGAAGAGGTCGTTATTGTTGTAATAAAATATAGAGTAGTGTTGTTCAACATAACATTGTTACTGATGCTTAGTACAGGTTTAGAAGTTTCGAAGAGGTCGTTATTGTTGTAATAAAATATAGAGTATTGTTGTTCAACATAACATTGTTACTGATGCTTGTTACGGGTTTAAAAGTTTCGAAGAGGTCATTATTGTTGTACTGAAATATGTATTTCATGAACTATTTCTTATCTGGTTTAGGATTATTTATTGTCATTTGTTATAATTTACTATTACTCTTGCATTGCCATTATTATTAACTTGATTTTTTGTTAGAGTTTATTACCTAAAGATAGAAATTAAGACTTTGATTTGCTTTAAACTATAGCAATTCGCTGTAACTATAGCGCTCACTTGTTACGATAGCAACCCGGTTCGTGACTATGGTAACTAGCTTGTAACTATAGTTACCTGCTTGTAATTATAGCATCTCACTTGAAACTGAATAATTTTTGAAAGGAAACTCAAAGACACTTAGTACTCGTTTCTTGCGTTAAGATAAATATTTCAATCACAAGATAACCTCACGGGTAACCAAGAGTACGGGTGCTTTCAGCATTCAGATTTGGTTTTACTATAATACTTGACTTGAAATATCAAGTAAGCTGTGCGATTTTCAGCCCTGTAGAATATTCGGAACAAGAACTTTTACACTTTCACCTACGTTCGTTTTATCCCTTTCAGACATTCACTAATAAAACTAGAACATGTGGTGTCACTTAAAGACCATGCTTAGCTTTCATCTTGTTCGCTAACCCTTAATTAAAACCATACAATATACTTATTACTACTGAACTACCACCAGGGTGGGTCATAGGGATAGAATCATTCAGCAAATATGTTTGTATCTTAAATTTTAAAGTCTTCGCCCAAATACACTTTGACCATTTAACAAGATATTTGAGTTTTAATTTATGAAATAGCCACTAGAGGTTGGTAGCAGAAAAGATTCAACAAGGATTTGTATTTCCAACCTGAACGACGTCTTAAGTGCACATGGGCTAAACGGTCAGGGCAGAAACCCCTAGGGAAGACACCAACAGCACCTATACAGTTCCTCATGGGGAGTCTCCTTCGGCAGAATGTTTAAGGCAGTGAAGACACCAACAGCACTTATATATTTTCCCTGGGGAGTCTTCTACAGGGCAATGTTTAAGGCAGTGAAGACACCAATATAGTTAACATGGGAAATTCCTATAGCAAAACGTTTAGGGCAGCTAAGACACCAATAGCTCCTAGACATAAGCTTCCAAACAAAATTACCCAATTCAGCCCTTAAATCTGTACGCTAGTTTATCCAATTCAGCCCTTAAATCTCTAAGCTAGTTCACCCAATTCGGATCCAGCTGTTCCTGGAAAGGGTTCAGGGCGTATTTGATGAAGACGGTTCTCGATGTTACAACTCTGAACACTTGGTTTGCAACGTGGTAGTAAGTTAATGTATTCGCCAGTGATAACGAAATTTTCATTCTATTCATTCAGGGCTGGACGGAGACCTTCAATGGACCGAATGGGCTCAACGCTGCGGTAAGGAGCTCTTTACAATATGTAATTCGTGTTGTTTGTTCGTGATCATCAAACAGCTACTAATACAATAGTAGATATAGATCACTGTATAATACAAGAGTAAAAATAAGTAAAACTCGGTGTCTTGTCAGATCTCATTTAGAATATAATGAAGTACCAGTAAAAAAAGTCAGAGTATAGCGGATCTCAGAATACTTAAAAATCAGAGCACAGTCAAGCTTCAAAATAAATATAACTCAGTGTCCAGTCAGATCTCAAAATATGGCAAAATTAGAATATAATCAAGCATCAGAATAAACCAAAAAATCTGAATATAGCAGAACTCAGAATACAGGCTTCAAATTAATTATAATCCAGTGTCCAGTCAGAGCTCAGCTATGTACAAATAAGAGTATACAAAGATTTGAAAGCAAGTAAAAATAAGTGTAAAGTCAGAGCCAAGTGTTTAGAACATAGAACATGTAAAATTCTTGCTACGTCCGTTAAGTTCTTTTTTTTTCTCCCTCTTAGGCTGCGACCGGTCTCCTACAGACTATGTTGTGCGACTCCACTAAAATTGCTGACCTAATACCAGTGGACGTGGTAGTAAATCTTATGATTGCCGTAGGGTGGCGCACGGCAACTCATAGGTATATAAAATTGTAAAAACCTTAAGAAGTTTCTTTAGAACTTTATTTTTATGTAATAGCTCAGATTTATTAAATGTGGTTTGTTTTGAATTTAACGCAAAGCTTCACGAGGGCTATCTGCGCTAGCCGTCTCTAATTTAGCAGTGATAGACTAGTTAGAAGGCAACTATTCAACACCACCCACCGCCAACTCTTGGACTACTCTTTTCACCAACGAATAGTAGGATTGACTAGCCGCCTTCTAACTAGTCTATCACTTCAAAATCAGGAACGGCTAGCGTACATAGTCCTCGAGAAGCGTTGTTCGAAATTTAAAAATAAGAAAATCACGTACGTATCCATAAGAATAATCCACAAAACATGTGATTCAACGATTGTTTGTATAATAAAGTATTCGTCAATTAGCGTTTGTTATTTTGACCTTAGAAGAACCTAATAAATGAAACGTGTTTAAAAACGAGTAGAAAGATTGCTATAACAGTTTTTTTTTTACATTGTAATATTGTCTTTATACATTTTGTTAGAGGTTGGCTTAGTGTGTTACTAGGTAATAACGTAAATTGTACGTTAATGTCAATTTCACATTTTTTATTGTTTTAAACCGGATTTTTTTTTACTGTGTAATTGTCATTAATATAACGAACAAAAAAACTGATTTTAGAAAAGTTTAAAAAGATTGTTAAAAGTTGATGAAATAATTATAACTTACACTGTTCTGTTTTCTATCCAGATATAGAAATAGTTGGACAGATGAACCTATAACTTACACTGTTCTGTTTTATATTCAGATAGAGGAATAGTGGGACAGATGAACCTATAACTTACACTGTTCTGTTTTATATTCAGATATAGGAATGGTTGGACAGATGAATCTATAACTTACACTGTTCTGTTTTGTATTCAGATAGAGGAATGGTTGGACAGACGAACCTATAACTTACACTGTTCTGTTTTATATTCAGATATAGGAATAGTTGGACAGATGAACCTATAACTTACACTGTTCTGTTTTATATTCAGATATAGGAATGGTTGGACAGATGAACCTATAACTTACACTGTTCTGTTTTATATTCAGATATAGGAATGGTTGGACAGATGAACCTATAACTTACACTGTTCTGTTTTATATTCAGATATAGGAATGGTTGGACCGTAAGTTATAGGTTCATCTATTCCTATATCTGAATATAAAACAGAACAGTAATTGGAGAGATGAGCCGGTAATTTAGAGTGTTCTAATTTCTGTTCAACTAACATAAAACAATACAACTTGTAGTGAAATAAGCAGAGTAACTGTTAACAATCTTCTACCCAGGACCAGCACCATCAAAGTGTATCATTGTACGTCAGGTCAGGACAAGAAATTAACATGGGGACAGTTGATAACTCTCATGTTCCCGTATGCTCTGGTCTACCCCACGTCTCACGTCATTCGTCATCCTCAGCTCAAATTTACCACTAACCGACTATGGAATGCGATCTGCAAGCTTTATCAACACTACATACCGGCTTACCTTTACGACCTCTTCCTTCGACTGCAAGGCGAAAAACCCAAGTACTTCTAATTTCGAATTACTATTATTACCGTATACAGTGATTAGATGTTTCGATAAGGCTCTAACATTTCTTTTTTATTATTGTTCATTACTGTTAATGTCTAATAGAAACTTAAAACCGAAATCCTTGCTTCAGTCGTAGTTGTTGAAACACTAATGGTTAAAAACAGTCCTCTGTTATCGACGCAGTGTTCATTTTGAAAGCCACGAGTTTTCCGAATTGTAAATAGTCTCAAAGTTGGAAATTTAGAGGAGAGAGATTAGAAACGAGACTTAACTTTGTTATGCGAAGAGCTTGTGTATACAGGTAACCTTTTCATCAGTCTGTGGACTTAGAATAACTGTATATCGTGACATCTGGTGACAAATCATACACACATTGTTATATGTTGAATAAATTTCATAATAAGCAAGATGAATCTAAAGAATTGGCAAAAAAACCCGGGATTATTTGTAATGATGCTTGAAGTAAAAACCCGGAATTATTTCTAATTATGCTTGAAGTAAAAACCCGGAATTATTTCTAATCATGCTTGAAGTAAAAAAGGGATTACTTCTAACGATGGTTGAAGTAAAAAATCTAAATGTTTACTGATTATTAAATTATTAGGCTTAACTGTTTTTATAAAATTATTCCAAGTTATTCTGGTTTTTAAATAAGCTACCATAGGTTACTTCTGGTTTCTTTACTTTGATCAAAATTTATTGATAATTTGCTAAAATATAGCTATTTTATAGTTGCCAACTTCGGCCTACATAAATTCAGTGACTCTAACTTTTTTGGGTTAGGTTAGTTGGTCTTTATACCAGACTCCACCGAGCAATCAACACCTTGGAATTTTTCTCTTTACGTGAGTGGACGTTTCTCAATGAAAATACAAAAAGATTGTCTTTGGAATTATCTGGAAGGGACATTGAGGTATGGGACAATTTAATGGTAAGATTGTACACATTGTACGTGTCTATTGTTGAATGGAAGGGACACTAAAGAAAGAGACACTTTTACGGTAATATTATACACATTGTACGGGTCTGTTGTTCTCTGGAAGGGTCACTGAGGTACGAGACACTTTCACGGTAAGATTGTACACATTGTACGTGTCTGTTGTTGTCTGGAAGGGTCACTGAGGTAGCAGACAGTTTCACGGTAAGATTATACACAGTGTACATGTCTACTGTTCTCTGGAAGAGACACCGAGGTAGGAAACAGTTTCACGATAAGATTATACATAGTGTACGGGTCTACTGTTCTCTGGAAGGGTCACCGAGGTAGCAGACAGTTTCACGGTAAGATTATACACAGTGTACATGTCTACTGTTCTCTGGAAGAGACACCGAGGTAGGAAACAGTTTCACGATAAGATTATACATAGTGTACGTGTATAGTGTTCTCTGGAAGGGTCACTGAGGTAGGAGACAGTTTCACGGTAAGATTATACACATTGTACATGTCTACTGTTCTCTGGAAGGGTCACCGAGGTAGGAAACGGTTTCACGGTAAGAATGTCCACATTGTACGTGTATATTGTTGTCTGGAAGGGTCACTGAGGTAGCAGACAGTTTCACGGTAAGATTATACACATTGTACATGTCTACTGTTCTCTGGAAGGGTCACCGAGGTAGGAAACGGTTTCACGGTAAGAATGTAGACATTGTTCGTGTATAGTGTTGTCTGGAAGAGACACCGAGGTAAGAGACAGTTTCACGGTAAGATTATACAAATTGTACGGGTCTACTGTTCTCTGGAAGGGTCACCGAGGTAGGAAACGGTTTCACGGTAAGAATGTCCACATTGCTTCATCGTTGTTAAAGTATGATAGATAATAACTGTAACTGCTGGTTCATATAAGCCGTTCATTGTTTAGTAATAGTTATGTCCGTTTCAAACGTTTATTATCTATGGATTTAGACTTTCAGCTTTGATATCAGTGACCTTGAGTGGAGCACGTACTTTGAAAATTACGCCAAAGGCGTGAGGACATTCCTATTCAAGGAGGACTGGTCAACTTTACCTGCTGCAAAGGTCAGGCTAAGAAGGTGAATTTTTCCGATATTACTTTTAATTTTTCATGTAAAGAACATTGACGATGTGTTTTACCGTTATCTCTTAAACTCACATGAAAGATAAGGCCTTTAATTGTTTAACTAACAATGTGTTTTAACGTTGTCTCTTAAACT